CACTTAAAGGAGGTTATCGAAGTGTTTGGACTCACTCCAGGTCTTGCTGGACCCACGGTAGAATCCCTCTGGCCGGGACGGCGGGAACTGTTCAGGTTCCTTGTGCTCCAGCACGGATCCATGACAGAGCAGTAAATACTATTTGCCAGCAGACTTCCCTCCCACTTTTAGAGAGAAATAAAAAGGGAAAAAAAGTCTTGCGAGTCTCACTACTTTCTGCTGGAGGCATTTTTATAAAGTATTCTTTTTTAACATCAGTAAAACTCAATATTTCTCATTCTTGAAAATTACTGTGATGATGGAAAGCTTTTTCCTGGTTTGATAATGAGGTATATTTTTCACCCTTTACTCTCTTGACTCTTTAAATAGCTTTTATTAGTATAATCTATCCTTTTTATCTTGCTTCCCACACACAGAGAAAAATATCCCATATAGAATAGTGTTCATATGCATTTATTAGTTACTATGAGTTTTATTACTGCAGTTCATACCAAGCTTTAAAAATTTTAATCGTGCACTGTCCTCTCTGAAAAGATGCTATACACTTACTTAGTGATTAGTAACCCTGCAAGAAAGGTCACTGAGCAAAAAATGTAATTCAGCTGGCAGTTGTATGAAAGAATTTTATGTGTAGTTAATGCATTAAGGCCTTTAATGAGGATCTAGCATGAGAAAAAAATAAGGCTTAATACTACTGTATGCTCACCAGCTTAAGGTTTGGCCCCACTGAGTGAGACAATGTGATGAAGTGCTTTGAGTTCAAACTGCATTTAAAACCCTTCACACAAAAGCAGTTAGGCACCTAGCCAGCTCTGTCAGGGAGACCGTCCGTCTTGTCCATATTGATCTGAAATTGTGGTCAGTGCCGCCAATACAAAGGGAACCTCCATTAAAAGGGACTTGGTTTGTTCCCACATAATAGATACAATGTTTTACATTTCATAAATAAGTCTTTAACTTGCCTGAACTCTCTGTCTTTTAGGAATAGTTCAGACATGAGCTGGGAATGCTCATTTCTCTGGCATTTATTTGGAAATCACAGCTCATGATCACATCAGTTGCTCATACCTCAAACAGCATGCTTTTATGCATTTTGTTTACATAGATTTTTTTTTGTATCATTGCTGTTCATTAGGCTTTATATACTGTGATTAACACCCCTTCTCCTCAGCAATTAAGTAATTTATCAGGTGATAGACATTACTGTACAGGACCACCATACACTAAAAAATGAGGCTCACTTCAACAGAAGCAAGTATCTCTGCACTAATTATCACCAGTGATAGTTATACATAATAATAAAGAGCTTTCTAGAAAGATAATGAGGCAGATTTTTCTTTCAATAATGCTAATGTTATATATAATAATTCTGGCACATCCGCACTGTGGTTCTTCCAGATTTACATAACCATCGCTGGACTGCATTTATCCAGCAGAACAGATTTCTTGTCACTGCCTGGATCCAGAACCGCTGCCCTCAGCCGTACGGCTGATGCCAAGCTCGGGAACACAATCTGTCACCTGTGAGCTGAGACACAACTTCAGGGTTTTTTTTTTCTTTTTTTTTGTTTGTGCCCTGTGCTGTCTAATAAATGATATTTTTTCTAATAAATGTCCCACGTTTTCCACCTCCTCAGATGACACGAATCAAGAGAGGACCAAGGACACTTCTGGCAGTGACTCCAGGGATACAAGCCAAACTCATCACCATCTCCTAAAGTATGGAACTGTGAGAAAGTCTTTTACTGGGGCCAATCACTGTTAAACAGATGTGGTGGAATTTTGCTTGCCATCATTTTAGATTATCAGTAAAAACAATTATGTGTTTCCATGTGGATTTTTTTCTCTTATTGATAGTTAAAATTCCACTGAAATATAAAGATGAAGCCACTCTCCAACTCTTGAAATACATCGTAAAGCAATTCCCTGAGTGTTGCCACAGACTAAGGATGAAGAATCAGCACAGATTTTCATTTTTATAGTCTTTGATATAGTTCTTTGCAAGATACCACGAAGAAAAGAACTGGAATTATGGGTTGCAATGGGAAGTTAAAGAGCAGTGATGTTATTTGCAATGGAATTTAGTTAAATCTGCTTATTTCAGCAACCACTGCTCAGTGGCAGGTATGACTGTTCCATGCAAATCACTAGTCATGCGTTTCAGGGGCAGTTTGCCTATGCAAGATGAGATGAACCCAGCCGATTATAATCACTGCTTCCCCCCTCTGCAGTAGACAGAGGCGCTGTGACACACGATACCGGCTGCCGGACGCTGGCTACTATAATAAAAGTCAATTTGCAGGATGGTATGGGCTGCGTTAATTTTCAACGTGGCAAAATGCTAACAGTTGACCCAACCTTGGGCCAGTGTTGTTTCATCAGCAAACTGAAAAAGGAAGTAAGTCGTGAGTCATATAAAATGCTGTAGATGATAGAGAATTATTTAGATTAGTCAATGCTACAGGAGTCTGGAGGCACATTAGAGTAACTTAAGAACATGAAGCAAAGCAGCACAGTGGTAGGTGAAATTCTTATAGCTAAAAAAAAAACAAAGAGATGAGGGCATTTATCTGGAAAGAAGGTACAATTTATACAAAGTAGACTAGGTTCACTAAGGGACTGAAAGAAACTTCCATGGCCTCCCCGCTTCCTCTTCTCCCTTCCCCCCCTCAGTTCTCCAGAATACTTTACCGCCTGCTCACAAGCAAACCCTGCAAGAATTATGGATGGTTTAGGCTGAATTTCTATGTGATGTCAGGTAGATAAGGGATTAAAACCCAAGACTCTGATATTTCCCTGAGTAGCCTAGCAGCAAGCCCTTGGACTTTGAATTATGGTTTTATGCAAGAAAAGAAAAAGCATGTGGAGCAGACGCATTACAAAGGGCTGCAGGGGCCACCCCTGTGTCCTGGATGGAGCCCCGTCCATCAGGAAAACTCTTGTTGAGCCCCTGAGGAGGCATGAGCAGATGATCAAACTCTTGGATCCCTTCCAGGACACTATGTGGGTATTGCATTGCCCAGGATATGTTGTGACGTGTGACCAGGCGCCCAATTCTGAGACCAAAAAGTAAAGTGAGATGGAGCTGCTCTCAGATTTTGGGCTCCCTCTAAATCCCAGGTCCACTTTTGTATCCTGCCCCAAGATACTCCTGTGAAAGTCAGAGACCCGGAGAGGTAAGAAGCAATAGTCTGTTTTGCAGGTGTGTTCCCCGAGATTACACCCCACAGTCATGCTGTTAAGAGACGGCCATCCTCTGAGGTTAAAAAACAGTGTTTAAATTGAACTTTGACTTCCCAAATGGGCTTTTTTTTTTTTAAGCCATGGTCAGAAATCTGCAACAAATGCAGCTGGGGTGACCCAAATGATAGTGCTAGGTATGAAAAAAATATTCAGAGGGACACTCTGGGCTGCTGCTCCAAGCAGCATGGACAAAATTCACAGCCTGAGGGAAGGGACACGGGCAGCACCTGTGGGTAGTGAGGGAGGTCAGACTGGCCCCGTTTCTATTTGAAGGCTGGTTACCAGAGAGGAGGTTGGTATGGGACAAACACTCAAAACTGTGGCACTCACTACCTGCAATTTTCTGCCACAGAGTGTGCTCATTCGTCTGTACTAAGCAACAGATTAATTGAAATAAAGGGGTTTTTGAGATCAAGAACCAGAAATGGAGTGGTAGAAAGACTATGGCAAGCACAGCCGCCTGCTTTAATTGAAAATCCAGCAGTGAGAGAAAAATCAGTAAGAAAAACAAATCTTGACTAGTTTTCCCATCATGTTCCCTCTCCAAAACGGGGATAAAGCACACACCTGAAATTTTCTAACTGAAAGCCAATGTCATCTCAAGCACATAGCCCGCTACCTTATAGACAAAAGCTCTTCAGATAGTGGAACATCAAACAGGAGACCCAGCAGCAGACAAGCAGCTTCACCGGTCAGTGGGTGGTGAGCAATTGCATTGTGCATCACTTGTTTTATATATATTCTGTATATTCTCTTACTATTATTATTGTTATTATTATTATTACTACTATTGTTATTCTTCTCTCTTATTAAACTGTCTCTATCTCAACCCACGGGTCTTACTTTTTTTTTCTTTTCTTCTATTCTCTCCCCCATCCCACAGAGGGAGGGGGGGGAGTGAGCGAGCGGCTGCGGGGTGCTTAGTTGCCAGCCGGGTTAAACCACGACACTGCTTTAACAGCCACAGCAGAAACACAAATAACAAGATCCTCAGCAGATGTAATCAGTGTAGCTCCATTAAAATCAATAAAAATATGCTGATTTATGCCATACAAGGATCTGGAGTGTAACTTAGCAGAAATTTCAAATGCCATGAAAAAGTAATGGCTACATTTTCATTTTAATACTCAAGTAGCTTATTCATTGCCTTTGTCAGAGTGTTTATCAAAGTATCCCTATTCCCAGTTTTCTCTTGTGGGATGAGCCAGATTTAAGTTTATGTTTCTTTTACTGGTGTGAAGGCTTCTGAAAGCCTTGTCTATTAACATAACTGTAAAGGACAGTCTACTTAAATGATACTGCCGAAGTATGTAAAACGGCAGGACAATGAGCCTCTGAACACACTTTTAAAAGGTTCCTTTTCTTTAGCAAGCAGAGGATGCCAAAAAAATCCATGGTAGAGATTTAGCTTTGTACTCTCCTTAGTTATACTAAAAGACGATTGATTTTTCAAATCTTAAATGATTTGTAACAGCTGAAATATTCTCCCAAGGCAGTAGTAACTTTCCCCCATAAAAATATGGAAATCCAAATACCTGGCTTAGCCAAAGTACTACTGCAAAGACAACAGAGTAGAAGAACCAAACTTAGGTTCTTTCTTCTTCTATTAAATGCAGTTCTTTATAAAAGGTGAGGTGGAAATAAAAAGCAGTGCTGAAAGAACTACATCGGTGTATAAAACTGTGTGGAAACTATCTTACAAAAGAAGAAAGTGGAATCAAGAGAAGATGTTTCAAGCATCCAAGTGCACATCAGCTTTAAGACTTTGGGTTATACGTCTGAGGTTTTTTAGTCAGTTTTCTCATCATTTTTCTGCGGAATACATTCATCGGTTTGTTGATGCCTGGTTTCTCAGTCCCTGCTAAGAAAACAAAGGAAGCAGTTAGGGAAACAGCATGACAAAACTGTTACTACTCTTTATTGTTTGGTTGGTTGTTTTTTTCATGTTATGCTGTTTAAGCAGTTGATCCAATAATAACAAACATATCAGAAACTGTAAAATGTGTTCTGGACACCCTATTCTCACACTCTGTAAGGTCTCCCATGTGTCCACCTTTGGCACTAGAGTCCTATTTTTCCTGAGCAAGCATCAAAGTCTTTTCTAGCTGTCCTGCAGTGACAGCAGAATGGACGTAAGCTCACTGCTCTATCTGGGAAAAAAACCAAACCAAACCAAAACAAACCCCAACCAACATTTCTCTGAACAACACTGGGGCAAAGTATGAAACATAACCAGTGCTTGTGGAAGATGAAAAGATAAAATTATTTGGGTTTCTGCACAGAACTGGGTTTCACGCAGAAGGAGCAGAGTGGTCAAAGACAGTCGGGGTTATCTCCAGGAACGCTTATGAAGGCTGCATGAAATGTGTGAATGCAGTTCAGAAAAGAAGTACTTTGCAAACCTGACTGAAAATCTTTTGTCTTTATGCTACCTGTTTACCTGCACTCAGAGCCCCCATGGCCAGTTCCCAATCCTTCCACTGTCACCCGAACGTATTTATTTTCTTTTCCAATATAAACTTTTTTTAATGAAATGAATCAGAAACCTTTTCACTCCAAGAGCTAGAGATCAATTCAAACAGCAGTTGCATATTTGCACAGGGAAGGTCAACTGAATTCAACCTGAGACTCCAAAAGGTAACAGGAAAGATGCTGGGGAGGGAATTATGGGAGCAGGAGAGAAGGAGTGGCGTAAATTGCCTTAAAGATTTGCTTAATGTCACTGTACACTCCCAAGCTATAGAAATGATATACATATAGCACAACATCAATTAGCACTAATTATGCCCTTAACTATGGGCTTCGGTTGTTACCAAGCCTTACTGAATTGTGAAATCCACAAGTTAGTGAAAAAGCTTATAGCCAATCCTTTACGTTTGGCTATCTGGTGCTCTAGTTAGGAGGCAGACAGCATTTCCTTCCTTCTTCCTTCCACAAAAGGAGTGAAGGAGAACCTCCAGGTGGCTCTGGCTGGGTGTGGGCAGGGGCAGAGTGCGGAGGTGAGATGCTGAAGGGGCAGTTTCCTTCCGGAAACCTCTCTCTTAGGCTCTCCACTTAGGCTGGAGCCTGGCCCTACCATTTCCCAGGTAGTAATAGATGCAAATTAGATAATCACAAGCATCTCAGATAGACTTAGCATGCTATTAAAGACTCCCTTACAATACTAGAATGGCAGAGACACACTCAGACTTGTCACCCACAGAAATATTACTGCCATGACTAACTGGCAGACAATATTTTTACTTCTGAGGACTGTGCTCAGGCTGCAATCCTTGCCCCACCCCTGGATTTCCAGCCCAGAACTGAAGAATCACCTGGCTTTAGCCTTCTGACTACACATCTTAAATACTGAAGCACCTGGACCTTTGTGCATATCTCATGTTTAAAACAGCTACTTTTTGGCGCTTTCTTCCCCCAAAATCAATGTAGATGCCAGATACAGCCTCAATTTTTTTTACTATTAGCATAAATTTTTTAAGTATTGTGTTGCCTGCTTCCTGAGTGCTCTGGGGATCAACATAAAATTATGCTTTTCTCTCTCTTGTTGATTTACATATCAAATGAAATAAAGTAGAGTATTAAAACTTGCGATAGCTGGCATGAACATAGGACTGTAGGTAAAAGCACAAGTGTTTTGAATTATAAACACAGCCAGGAGCTGATTTGAATAAAACCATTACGAAAAATCAGTTACCATTCCCAACCTTTCCCCCCAGGGCCACAGAAACAGTTGACTCCGCACAACTGATGAGGCAGAAATCTTTAGGAATGGGAACGGGAAATGGGAATGAGCAGCAGGGAATCAAGGGAGGATGGTAGCTGCTGAAAATGTGAAGGAAAAAAGTAAATTGATTTCACAACTTACTTACTTTAATCCCACTTTAAAATATCTGGAAGAAAATGAGACCTTAATTAGTGTTCGTGCTGGTACTGAACAGTTCAAAGATTGATTCCTTGTGGACTCTAGTGAGTTAATTAGTCTTTCTGTGTGCCCTTCTCTACATTTCATTCAAAAATGGTGCAGTCACCGTCACTAGTTCTTGTCAGGATTTAGCGTTGCATCTCACTTTTCCCTGCCTTTGAAAACACTGAGTCCAAAATGCAAAAAGCATACACTGGTAACAAGCCAAGGTGAGCATCTGAATTGCTTTATCTGCTTGTGACAGCCAACATACAGAAAAATCTCACCTTTCCTGCAGACACTGTAGCAATCCTTTTCAGTAACGAAGTTATTGGCATTTCCACCACAGCCTGTGTATTTGAACTCCTGACATGATTTAGTCTTGGCATCATAGTAATAGCGAGGTACAGAAGAAGAGCACAATCCTTCATCCTTTGGGCTATAGCATAGCAAGGGACCAGCTTGAAAAAAAAAAAAGAAGAAAAAAGAGAAAGAAAAATTACATAAATGCAATCTCTGTGCTTGGCTTCTTACAATTTACCCTACAATAAATTTTGTGGCTAAACAGCTCTTGTTGCCATTGAACTGACATGACCGTTACCAATGACTTTGGGGACTTGCTACATCGTATTCCTGTGAGTTATGAAATTGAGAAAGCGACAGACAGTCCCAGAAAATAGGATTACTATCCCACAAGTGAAATTCATCACCTTTCCCCATTTGTGATGCCACACATACGACAGCTGAGATATTTACATAGTCTGGCCAGAAGTCTTATTCCATATATATAGGATTATAACAATAATTCCGGTAGAACTACCTCTGTAGAGGAAAAAAGGCATTATTTTGTTTATGCTTCCTATGATTCTGCCAGCAAATCCTACCTGCTTGCAGCAAAAAGTACAAAACTGACCACTTTCCTCCTAAGAATCGTGTTTCATTTTGCCTCAACAAAATTTTACTTTTCTTGCTGGAGACCTTTTATCAATTTATTGGATGTGCAACAAAGAAATTAAAAATATTTCAGCATTCACCTAAGAAAATGCTGACAACCTGTCATCAGCCAAAAATAACTGTCTCATCAAGCACTAACATAAGTTAGGCAGTGAGAGCTTTTATACATTCTGGTAGACCTCTCTTCTTCAAAGATCCTGCCTTGGACTGGATATTAACCTGGTGTTTATGACAACACTTAGCTATAGTCACCTGCTCATCATTACCACCTCTCCTCTTTAAAGCTCGTACGGAGAGACAGTGAGAAGTCACATCAGGCAAAAAACTTTTATCAGTTGAGCTGGCGAGTGCGAAAAACCCAAGCCGCCTAATACCATCTCTCAGGGCTGAATTTTAGAAAAAGGCACTTCCACTTTATAAAAGGATATCAGTGCCCTGAACGTGACTGCCACAACGTCTCATACATCTGCCTCAACACAGATCTCCAACCTTAGCTCCCTTCAGATTACACAATCTACAGTCTCTAGAAGTCAAGAGATCGGCTCGGTGTAGCTGTGGGCATATTTAAGGTCACAATAGTAAACTAACACAGCATTTTTGCCCTTTCAGTAACAGCTGAGACAAGCAACACATGCAAGTCTGCAGACAATATAAACATCTGCTTCACAGAAGTCTTCAAAAATACTACTGTATGGGTATCCAGAGGAAAATATCAAATAAAATATCATCTTCATATCGCTTTCAAAGCATCTATTTTATTAAAAATTTGGAACAACCATTACTTTTCTCCGGTAGACAGTGGTCCACACAAGACTGCAAATCTCTGAAGTTGTTGCCATTTCCATAGCAGCCACCGTAGATGAACTCCTCACACCTCATCGAGCTCAAGTTAAAGGCATATCTTTTTAGATAACTCCTGCAAGGTCCTCCATCAGCCTCCATCCGGCACAATTTGGGCACTTCTGCAACAAAAATAATTTCATCCTTTATAAAATCAACCCTTTGTGCTGCCCATGCTGAACAACATGGTAGTGCAAACAAAACGCTGTTACTCCGGTCGAAAGCAAGTCACAGCTTGTCCCACTACCTGCATTCTTTAATAAAGTGGGGTAAGCTTTACAGACGGAATCTGATCCATTCCTTAGCAACTAGTTATAATCTTAAATGACATTTAAAATATTAATAATTAAATTCCGCGTGTCACCTCCGAGACAACTCACCCCGATTTCTCTGCATAAAATCGACACCAGCGAGACACCTGCGACAAGCGCGAGGGGCAGACGGGGTGGGTAGGAGGCGCCCCCAAGCAACGCGGCCTCCCCGGTGCCCCCTCCCGCCCCCCCCGCCAACCC